TTCCCTACCACCCGCTCCTTTCAGAAAAGCATTGGCCACGGGAGATGTCTCCCCTTCTTGTAGCATTTGATACTTGGGGCTTGGTGGAAAACAATGTGTTGGGATTCCCATCCGTTTCTTGGCTTTGTAAGCACTCAATTTACCTGCAGCATTGCTTTGTTTGGGTTAATCTTTAAGGAAATAAAACAAGCTCTTCCTGTGTGTCAGATTTCTGTGGAAGAAAAATGTCAGAAATAAGTGCTTTAGTTTTTGATTGTAGTATAGAAAAAGGATCTGTTATGCATTAATAAGCTGGAAAAGATTGCAGAAGAAAAGCATAAAATAAGACAATACAGGCTTTAAATACCTTTATATTAGTTTCCTGCTCTAATTGTACATGGTGCAGTAGTTATCACCTAGGAATTTCTCTGAGGCAGGTGCCAGAGATGCCAAGTCCAGAGTGGTTTGGTTTCTTTTTTTTTGTCTTCCTAATATTCAGAGCCGCTTCTTTTTTTATCCTTCTTTTCTTGCTGACACTGAATGAAATTTCAGATTGCATCTCAGCAACTCTCCAGCTTCTTTGCTAACGTAAGGGACCTCTCTTGTGGCATAACCGTGATTTAGTTGCTCTGGGGTCCGTGAGAGTGCTAATTCCCCTTTAAACTTCATTCTTAACAGGGTTGAGAGATCTCTGATTCTACCCATGTCCTCGCTTGGTCTGTCGTATGAAATCAATTGACTGCATTCATCAGCTTCAGCGTGACTGTGTTTTTTAGGATAGTTTGACTCACAGGAGTCCTTGAGAGTCTTGCCCTGTATTCATCACTATGGATGCAGTCTTTTGAGATAAAGGTTGTATTTCCTGCTGGAGTTTAGCTTCTTTGGTGCTGGATATAAGAGGCAAAAAGAAAGGTATATGATGAAAATGACAACAGCTTCTGCAGCCTGAGAAAAGTCATACCTTCTTTTCTCCTGGCCAGCTCTTATTTTTCTGGGTGATGGGAGCTGACAGCCGTGGTGTGGGAGATGCCACATGGCATATCCAACAGGATAAGCAGATTGCTGGAATTTATCAGCTGGAAGTGTGGGAAAAGGCTTTTAGCTGCTTTGCTCCCAGCTTTATCAGGAAAACCCCTTACACATACGGAGAAATAAGCTGGAAAATTGAATGGGTATTTTGCTTCTTTACCTTACCTTGCTCTTGATAGTGAAAAGGGGCAACCCCCAGAAACCTTCGTACTGTAGCGTGTATTCACCAAGGAGCATGGGGAACCTGTTAAATCGAGTGTTGTGTTCAAGTGTGAGCACCTTATCTAGAGAGGCGTGTGTTGAATTCCTGACCTAGTAGTGTTCATTACATGCTCAGCTGCTTCATTAGAAGCAATTGGATAATGTGCATTTTATAACCCCCACTGGAGACCATGAGATTAATGTCCTACTAGCTCTAACTTTAATAAGCTAATAACACTAACCAATTATGTAGTTGCAGTTCTGTAGCATCTCCTGAGAAACGTGATCGTTGTGGTGAATTAAGAGCATAGGTCAAATGTTAACCATTTTTTTCAGTTTTAGATATCTGCTTGCAGACAAACAATGGTACCCAGCTAGCTGTCATTAGGACTTTTTGTGAAGTGCTGTTAATATTTGAGCGTCTAAACCTGAAACACCCCAGTCTGAAGATGTTGCCTTACCTTTTTTTTTTTTTGTCCTGTATTTAATTATTGAGCAATAAAAGTGTAGCATTGTTTAAAGTCCACAGGTATCTACAACAGTGTAAAGGAAAGAGTTCTGCGTGTGTT